CCCCAAAACCCCAAAACCCCAAAACCCCAAAACCCCTTATTCGCCGGTCTTATTGAATTTTTTGATGAAATCTTATTTTATCTCCCATCTCTGTGAAGGAAATAAAATTATTTGTTGTTCTCATAATACATTTGGAAGGTTTTGAATTCGAATTTGCCAAAGCTATATCCTTCCTTCCATCTATTATGCATCAGGGGGACTTGGTTGGTGGGGTCTTCTTTGTAGACATATCCAGCATCCGTTCCTTCAGGAATTTTAAGATCTTCAAAAGGATTTGGCTCGAGGAATAAAGCAAACGTGTTTCTTGAAATGCCATCGGTACTAGGCTTGCTCACCACACTGTGAGGAGTGGCGCAGAGTAATCCACCGCTGACTATTTGGGAGCACTCACCAATTTGAAAAGCCAAAGAATTTTGAGGAATCTTGATCTTCACTTCCTCGTGGTTTCTTGTCATAGCGAAGAGCCCTGAGTCATCATCTTCGATAGTGTCTGGTGAAATCTCGTTAAAGTTTTCATCAAGGTACATGGCTGAGCATAAGCCAGTGAGAGTTCCGTGGTCATTGTGCCATCCACACCACTTCATATCTGTGATATCAATATCTTCACTAACAGGGAAGTAGTGTAGAAGTCTTCCAGTCGTTCTTGTGGACTCCCGAAGATGTTTCTCTATCTGTCCATCTTGATATTTAGGACAGTTGGCTTTAATATATTTATCCAGATTTTTTGCGATCTCTATTCCGACGAGATTGATGTATCTGCCAAGATCTTTGAAGGCATCTTCGAAGCCATCAAGGACGCCCTCTTCAGGCCATCTATTCTTGCAGTCTCTGATATCTCCTTCATTATAGACCATTTGGAACTTATCTGAAATTGGTCATGCGTAATAGCTGGCTTTTAGCAAATCTGGTTTGCCTTGGAACTTTTCACGCCCATGAGACCATCCGTTAGAGTAAAACAACTCAGGAGCTTCAAGAGTTTCAAGGGTGTCCTTGTCAAGCTTAGTCAGCATCTGTGCGTAAGGGAGGAGTCTCTTTCTCTTCTGAGGGAAATCAGGGATATTGTTCACCACCAATGCACCGATGCCTTCATTTCCATATGCTTCCTCAAATTTGGAAAATAAGGACTTGTCCTGCTTAATAACTTCGGAGAATTCAATCTGGACTACCTCTTTGGTTGACATATATCTCTGAAGGCCTGTTGTGAGAGACTTCTGCTTTCTTAGACAATTACGAAACATGCTTTAAATAAAAATTTAAGTAATCTATTCAGATGGTTTTCCAATTCAATTTGTAGGACTAGAAACGGGGTTTTGGGGTTTTGGGGTTTTGGGGTTTTGGGG